TGAACAGTTGCCATCTGGTCGACGCTACAGAGCACTGAGCACCAGAACGACCAGACACAGGAACAGTTTCTTTCCTCAGGCAATCCATCTCATGAACACTTAACAATAATCGTGGAACACACAACACTAGCATACATTATTTATTTAACACACATACTTATTTACATTTCAAATTTGCACATATCATACCTGTACATACAAAATTGTCTATATTATATATTGTGTTTTTGCTTTTTTGTACATTGTCTATTTTGTATATTTTTATATTATTCTTTTTATTGTCTGTGTCCTGTCTTGTCACTGTCATTCTGTTGCACTGTGGAACTTCTGTCACTAAAACAAATTCCTCGTATGTGTAAACATACCTGGCAATAAAGCTCATTCTGATTCTGATTCTGATTCTGATGATCAGACTTCTACCCAGCAGTCAAAGCGGCATTACCATTATGTCACGAAGTTTCGGACTCAGAGGAAGACTGTGAGGGTTTAGGGTGCCATTTGAGACAGGGCCTTTGTTTCTTCATGAGAACAGATTTGGAGAAAATTTTGCATTAAATTACTTTGCTCACCAATGAAGTGAATGAGCGCCATGAAAATGAGAGTTCAAACAGCTGATAAAAACATCACAATAATCCACAGGTAATCCACACGACTCCAGTCAATCCATTAACATCTTGTGAAGTGAAAAGCTGTGTGTCTGTAAGAAACAAATCATAATTAAGGTGCTTTAAGTCCACTAACATATTTGATTATTTATATTAATAAATATATATATTTTTTTTTTTTTTTTTGCTTATAAACTTGATCTGTATATATTTCTCTCCTGATTCAGATGAGACGACTTTTCCTTGGAGAAAGTCATGGATAGGGGACTTGTATTTTAGCTGGAAGAAATGGTTTAAAATTTCTTGAATTTGTTTATTACAAGCATACAGGTAGTTCTGACCTTCTAATTTGATTGGCCGAACAGTGTTCCAAAAGACATTTCACTGATTGTATCACTCCGCTTATCTGCATTCTAAACTTACAAAAAAATTAAAAATAAAATATATAAATAATAGAAACGGGCCAATTCACTGGCAAAATTCAGTTTGAAATGTACTCTATATTCTATATCTTCTCAACATCAGAGAAACATCCAAGTGAATCTCAGGATCTATTATGCTGCCAAGGAGGGTCTCAAAGTACCATCATATAAACTTGCCAGAGTAACAGACCACTAACAAAGCACAAAGCCGGTGCTTGAAAGAACACAAACACGCATGCACACACTCTCACACACAATATGCATGCTGACAGAAGCTAATGAATGTCCTACGATCGGCTGCCAAAAGCCATGAGAACCACTTCTCAGGCTTGTGGTGTCCTGCTGGGTCCCTGCAACACAAATGAGCATCGTGACAATATATTTCAGCACAGGAACACAAACTTAATCACAAAACCTACACCTGATACAGAAAAGTGCACTTCTCCACCTCATCAGAAACACAGATCCTCAGCTTGCCAATAGGCCCTGTAACCAAGGGAACTGATATTTATTGTGCTGGAAAAACAGTTACAGGAAACTAGACACCTGCAATCCAGCCAATTAGCTTATGAGGGAATAGCACTGTTTCATTTCCTGACACTGAATGGCCTTTTCAAATGACCAACAATAGCCATGAGAGTTATTCATGCTCGACTTATAATCAAAACCCAGACAGATCTCTTTATGTGCTTGCTTAGACAGGACTTACATCTCAGTGAGTTTAAGCTTTGTTTGTTTAGTTGGTAAGTCTATAGGGCGAATTCAATAAACAGTTCCGCTAAATGCACTGAAATAGCACTGCAACATATTTAGATTATAGTAACTGTCATTGTTTTCAGCACAAACACACTTCCTTTCCATTTTAATTAGGCTGATTAGCATTGAAGCCCATTTCCGTCTCAGAGTAAAATAAATTAAAATGCATCTCACAATATACCCTTTTTCCAATTCACTGGCAAAATTCAGTTTGAAATGTACTCTATATTCTATATCTTCTCAACATCAGAGAAACATCCAAGTGAATCTCAGGATCTATTATGCTGCCAAGGAGGGTCTCAAAGTACCATCATATAAACTTGCCAGAGTAACAGACCACTAACAAAGCACAAAGCCGGTGCTTGAAAGAACACAAACACGCATGCACACACTCTCACACACAATATGCATGCTGACAGAAGCTAATGAATGTCCTACGATCGGCTGCCAAAAGCCATGAGAACCACTTCTCAGGCTTGTGGTGTCCTGCTGGGTCCCTGCAACACAAATGAGCATCGTGACAATATATTTCAGCACAGGAACACAAACTTAATCACAAAACCTACACCTGATACAGAAAAGTGCACTTCTCCACCTCATCAGAAACACAGATCCTCAGCTTGCCAATAGGCCCTGTAACCAAGGGAACTGATATTTATTGTGCTGGAAAAACAGTTACAGGAAACTAGACACCTGCAATCCAGCCAATTAGCTTATGAGGGAATAGCACTGTTTCATTTCCTGACACTGAATGGCCTTTTCAAATGACCAACAATAGCCATGAGAGTTATTCATGCTCGACTTATAATCAAAACCCAGACAGATCTCTTTATGTGCTTGCTTAGACAGGACTTACATCTCAGTGAGTTTAAGCTTTGTTTGTTTAGTTGGTAAGTCTATAGGGCGAATTCAATAAACAGTTCCGCTAAATGCACTGAAATAGCACTGCAACATATTTAGATTATAGTAACTGTCATTGTTTTCAGCACAAACACACTTCCTTTCCATTTTAATTAGGCTGATTAGCATTGAAGCCCATTTCCGTCTCAGAGTAAAATAAATTAAAATGCATCTCACAATATACCCTTTTTAGAATATAGACTTTATATTTCACAATATATGGCTTTTTTAGCCATTTACTTTATCATAATTGTGAATGCTATATATCCCATAATGTGACTTTGAATCCTGCCATGTTAACTTTATATCTCACAATTGTGGCTTTATATCACATAATTTGTATTTCTATTATTTGAATTATACATAATTTTTACTCTGAGGCAAAAATTGGCTTCCAAAAAAAAAACACCCAACACTTAAAACTATTTGCCTGGTGCATTTTTGTGCAATTACTTCTTACGGAAAGAGACGTCATTTAATTTTAATAGATGTTTTTGTGCATTTTATATTATGACAGCAGATATTAATCAAATGATGAAGAAGAATGATAATTAAGAATTAATTTTTAAAAAGTGATTTTTTTAAATAAAGACATATCATTAAACATGTTGTCAGGTTTTCCACCTGTCTGGTATGGGACAAAACAAATCTCTTTAGCTATTAAAAGCCAAACACCCGGGGAAATTTAAAATCACCATTTCTGAAGGAGCCACCATTTGTGATCTTTTTCCTGTTCCGCCCAGTTGGCGTCTCATGGGTATGATATCCTACGGTAGACAACGGCAAGCTGCTACATACTCAAGTTGCCAAAGGTCCTCCACTTGCCTTGACCCCTGCTGACACCTGATCCCCCTGAAACCATCTTTTATTCCTCCTTCAAGAAGCAACATTAGGATCATTCTTACACCCCTACTGTTTGGTTGTGGTGACCTCTAAGCCTATGGGAATCCAAGGCCAACAGCAGAGTAAATGGCAACAGTCGGTTTCTAACAGTTAGCTCTCTCGTGCTCTTCCGGCGTAATGTTGAAACGGAGAGATCTAAGGTTAACCGAGTGGTGCTTGGGTTGCTGTCTCCCGTTCCGGCTCTTGTCCGAATTAGTTCAGGATCACCGGTGCTGCCAATGATGTGTTCTCAGGCTAACGCTGCATTCCTCACAGCATTTCATTCTTTTATACAGCATTTGACCCTGAGCCTACGAGAAAAACCAGGCAGTCGCTGCCCAGAATCAACCACATGGTGTGTCAGCAATTTCATAACTTTTTGCCAATTTTACCTTAACAAACAACCAATTTATAGTCTGATTTTGCAGTACTTAAAGAATCGTTCACCCAAAATGTTCCCTGTTTCCACCCTCATTGCATGCATTTTGTAATCATTTCCATGCATTATACAGGAAGTGATAAAATCAATCTGATCTTCAAGGTGTGGTGACTATGAAAACTCCTCTTTCTAGAGCAGATTAAGTGATATTTTAGGAAGCAAGATACTAACTTGCTGTTGCCTCTTGTAAGTGCAGTACATTTTAGTAGAGCATACATTTCCCTATTTTTTACCTAAAAAAATAATTTTAAAGACGGAAAGTAGGTTTTTGTTCATGTTTTGTTGGCTTTTCTTCATAGTAGTACTGGTTTATCCTAACACCTATAGGTGGATGTATTAAGTTAACTATCTGCACTAACTAAAAGCACTAAGTTAACTATCTGCACTAACTAAAATACAGCAAAAATATACAAAAACTATCAAAATTATTGTAACTGTAATATAACTAATCAATATAATTATTGTTGCTATTATAATTAGTACTGTAGTAATAAGGATGCATGATGGTGTGATCCATTCCATGTAAAATAATTGATTATTAAAAAGTTACATTAGGTAATGACAACTGATTTTGGGTTCCTTACCACGGTTGCGTTTGGCTTGCTTAGCTGGGGTTTTAAAGACAATGAATATTGAGTAATCTTATCGAGCTGATGGCACTGTGCACTGTCAGATGAGAACAAAACTGAATTTAACTGAATATATGATTACACTATTGTCTTCTGTAGAGCTGCTTTACAGCTAAATCAAATTTGTTAATAATTTTGCAACAAAGACACTGTTATTGAACTTAAGTGAATCAGCACGGAACTGACTTGAGTTGAATAAATAAATATTGCCTTCTGTAGAGCTGAACTAAACTCGTTTCAGAATTAAAACTACAGTTATTGAAGTGAACTGAATCAACACTGAACTGACTTGAGCTGAATAATGATACTACTGTCTTTTCACAACTAATTTACAGCTGAATCGAATTTGTTTATAATTTTGCAACATAGACACTGTTATTGAATTTAACTGAATCAACAATGAACAAACTTGAGCTGCATATTGGCACTTGTCATTTGAAATTTTCAAATGTGAATTTGAATATGTTTCATGGTTTAAAAAAGTTTGCATTGATTCTGCTATTAAAAAATACTGAGTACTCCTTTGGGTTCACTGCATAAAGTGACGTTAAACAAACTTGTAAATCTTGTCAAAGTGTGTAAATAAGCATGGGGTGTAATAATTGAATAAAGACATTGATTGGCAGTGTTGCGTCAAACAGGCTTTGATAATATTTCTCTCTTGTAATGCATGCACATGGTTTGAACCCAACCCTTGCCTGCAGTCACACTCAGGAATGTGCCAGAGAAGGGAAGTTCCTCTCCTTGGAAGAGCACAACCCTCCACTGCATCACAGAAACGGCCCGTGAGCACCTACGCTGCATGCTAACGACCAGAGCAGAATGCCAGAGGGCAGTGAAGATCTGAAAGTTGTGTTTTGATAAGGGCATGTGATCTTGACCCACAAAACAGCAGAATGGAGAGAACAAAAACACTAGAGTGTTAAAAGCTTGAGACGCCCAAAAGTAGCTCTTACTTGCACTGTAACAA